GTACCTAGGAGAGGGATTTTAAGATCACGTGACTGGCTCGGTAGGGATGCGGGGAAACATGGCGGTGCCCCAGTGAGTGAGCGCCGGTCGCTTTGAAACTAATATGTCGTTGTAGCTGCAATATCGGGCGCGTTAGTCAGCAACAAATAATGCAGGAGGCTTTCGCTTTGCCTTACCTCAACTTATACCGCAAAGCATGGGCAATGACATTGCCGCATTTTTTAGATAGTGTTTCGATTCAGGGCATTCCTAAGCCTAAATGAACGCGGTGGTTGTCGGCATGGCAACGTCTTTGGAAAGCGGATTGCCTTGACTCAGTCGGCTGGGTATTCATAGCACACAAAAGCAGACAGCGTCCCGACAGACTTTTTTCTAAATTATGTGCAAGGCAAAATTTGTTTTATACTTTTTGCTTTAGAACGGTTACTACTGCAGACGCCAGCACGTGCGACGCGTGCAACTACAGTCGTAGCATGCACCTCGGTGCTTGGATATTTTAGAAAAAAGCTCTGTTGGGACGCCGTCTGCTTTTCTGTGCTATCAACAATCCGCTTTCCAAAGACGTTGCTATGCCGACAATTATCGCATTCATTTACGCTTAGGAGAGCCCAGAATCGAAACACTATCTAAAAAATGCGGCGATGTCATTGCCCATGCTTTCCGGTTTCAGTTAGGTAAGGCAAAGCGAAAGCCTCCTGCACCATTCGTTGCTGACTAACGCGCCTGGTATTGCAATTACAACGACATATTAGTTCCAAAGCAAGCGGCGCTCACTCACTGGGGCACCGCCATGTTTCCCCGCATCCCTACCGAGCCAGTCACGTGATCTCAAAATCCCTCTCCTAGGTACTGCGGCTAACTTTAGCCGCGGTTAGTGCTTCGAGCAAACGGGCCCAGGGAACTTCCTATGCAGCGATGACGATTTGGTACGGCGTAATGGCGACGGCCCTCCCAGCATGCAATTTTAATGACGTAGGTGCAAGGCATGTACAGGACTGGCATATTAGCAAAAATATAAGCGCTCCCGGAATGCTGGCGAACCTTGAACACACTCTACCCTCCTTTCAATTGGCATTTTGCTTAGAATCGTCGCTCGTGTTTACGCACCTCTTACGGAACAAAGGTTTGGGCCTTAAATATAGCGAAGTTCAACATCGTTCACAGATGAAGAAAAATACTGTAACTCAAGCAGTTACACCTTTACACTGATAATAAAGGTACTATCGTGGACACTGTTAGCTATAACACGGCAGCGGCGGCCGTCCCGTACCCCCAGCGCCCCATAGCAGGCGCCGTCCGAAACTCCGCGCATGCGCCGTGCGGCGGACTCGCTCTTCCCTTTTGCGAGCACACCCTCGCTTTACCGTCTGCTAGGCGCAGAGTAGGTGATGCTACAGTGCTGCTCGTCTGGTACCCTCGCTATAGCGAACTGGGCCCGTTTGCTCGAAGAGCTAACCGCGGCTAAAGTTAGCCGCAGTACCTAGGAGAGGGATTGTTTTAAATCACGTGACTGGCTCGGTAGGGATGCGCGGAAACATGGCGGTGCCCCCGTGAGTGAGCGCCGCTCGCTTTGGAAATATGTCGTTGTAGCTGTAATATCGGACGCGTTAGTCGACAGTGAATGGTGCAGGAGGCGTTCGCTTTGCTTTACCTCACTTAAACATCAAAGCATGGGCAATGACATGGCCGCATTTTTTCGATAGTCTTTCGATTCTGGCCGTTCCTAAGCCTAAATGAACGCGATAATTGTCGGCATGGCAACGTCTTTGGAAAGCGGATTGTTGATAGCACACAAAAGCAGACAGCGTCCCAACAGACATTTCTTCTAAATTATCCAAGCACCGAGGTGCATGCTATGACTGTAGTTGCACGCGTCGCACGTGCTGGCGTCTGCAGTAGTAACCGTTCTAAAGCAAAAATTATAAAACAAATTTTGCCTTGCACGCGCGTTCGTTAAAGCCTTATTATGATTTTTTACTTCGAATCTTTTATAAGAGGAAGGCCAGCGCGCGTGGACGGTAGAATTACACTTCCAGCGTTCTCCTCGCGATGCTTGGATAATTTAGAAGAAAGTCTGTTGGGACGCTGTCTGCTTTTGTGTGCTATCAATATTCGGCCGATTGAGTCAAGGCAATCCGCTTTCTAAAGACGTTGCCATGCCGACAATTATCGCGTTCATTTAGGCTTAGGAATGCCCAGAATCGAAACACTATCTAAAAAATGCGCCGATGTCACTGCCCATGCTTTTAGGTTTAATTGGTGTAAGGCAAAGCGAAAGCCTCCTGCACCATTGGTTGCTGACTAACGCGCCCGATATTGCAGCTACAACGACATATTATTTCCAAAGCGAGCGGCGTTCACTCGCTGGAGCGCCGCCATGTTTCCCCGCATCCCTACCGAACCAGTCACGTGATTTCAAAATCCCTCTCTTAGGTACTGCGGCTAACCTTAGCCGCGGTTAGCGCTTCGAGCAAACGGGCCCTGGTCTCAAACTCATTTTCAACCGGCGATTTGTATTGGGGCAGATTGCAGAGTCATTAGGGCATAACCCCTGTTTAAGATTTTTTTTTTTGCTTTGTCAGAAACAGCATTTTTACCGATATGCGTTCGCAAACCAGTATGAGCGCAGCAGGTGTGATACAGAAATAGACTGTTGTACTCCATTTCACCTTAAGTCCGACCGCAGCGTACGCTTCAAAACGACAGAGCCAATCAAATAGCGGCAAAGGTGCAACGTCACGGAGTGCATCCCCAGGGGACCCAATAAAGTGCAAAAAGCGCTTTCGTCGCTGCTTGGTGGGTCATATCGTCTCGTAGCGTCCGCAGCACTTAGACCTAAAGTGAAACGAATGATAACTGCAAGTTTGTCTCATAAAAAAAAATTAATCTACCGTGATGTTACATTTAGTATACGATGATTATCCTTAGCCAGCGGAGTCAGGGAATCAACCGTGGGCACCTCATACGCGGTGGTTCGCTGAACCATGTTCAGCGAAAATTGGCGAGCGCTGCGGCGTCGTCTGCTCTGTGCCTAGCAGACGACAAAGCGAGGGTGTGCTCGCAGGCGGGAAGAGCGAGTACGTCACACGGCGCATGCGCGGAGTTTCGGACGGCGCCTGCTATGGGGCACTGGGGGTACGGGGCGGCCGCCGCTGCCGTGTTATAGCTAACAGTGTCCACGATAGTACATACTATTCGGTATGACCGAAAGAACAAAAGGAATCCATGTTAATTTACGGCGAAGAGACAAAATGCATGCGCGTTTTCCCATAGGAAAACACAGGAGCACCGCAAAAGAAGCCTGGTTGCTGCCTGCTTCAATTTGCATCCCAGAAGTCGAATAGACACTAGCGCCAGTTGAACTTCTGGGGTACATTATAATAACTCTATGGCTGAACCGGATTACTCTTCTCTCCCGCGCCTATTCCGCTCCTGCGGGTAAGGTGTAATATTCGCTTTTTAAAAAGCGAACGCCGAGGCCTGCTTCCGGTGAGCGGATGCCGCATGGTGGCGCTTTGGAGACTGACGCTGCAAACGTCTCGAAGGAAACGCAGCTCTTGGTTACATTGGCCTATCTGACAGTTGCAGTATTCTTTTTCGTGAGTGATACCAACGTCGCACTTTTGCTTTTTTAAGCAATTGCAGCAGTTCCCACTTCATTAGCGCGAGGCGGCCCGGTGCGCAGATGTACCCACCTGTTGTACACCTGTCATCAAAATACCTTTCGCAGACGGCGGTGCTTTCTTCGAGAGGCTTCTCCGAGAAGCCCTGAGGAACGCGCAGGCCCACTTCTGAAACGCGTCGGGGTTTCTCGGTGCCCGCAAAAGGGATGGCTTATCCCCACACGACTTGTACCCTCCATCGCACCCCGGCACAAAACACCAGCGTTGCGTTTTCTTCTTTTTCGTGGAAGGCATGGCATATGCCACCGCGAGAAAGCCGAGTAAACACCGATGCCAGCGTAAGCCTGGAAGCTTCAGGAGCCACGAATAAGGTATTCTAGAAGGGTTCTTAGATGGCATAAGGCGTTCTAGTACACACTACCACGGAGCAATTTGACCGCCTACGACTCCCCTAGGTACAGTGCCAAATTTACCTACCCCTAGTGGTATCAACGCGCGGAGGGACCACACCGCCCTACGGGAAAGGGCCGCGCTTTTCAGACGTCCCACTCTCACAAAAAAAAAAAAAAAAAGGTATATTCTTACACCTCTTGTTCCACATACGACACCCCAAAACTTCATTTCAACGTACACCCTACTGCGGGGAGCGGGCATCTCGAACAGTCAGGTGGAATAACGCGTTGACGCCACCAAGTGGCGAAATTCACGACCACGGCAGCCTCCCTGTAGCCTTGCCTGTGAAGGAAAACGTGACGTCACGAACGCGCTGGGGGCGCCGGATCTCCCGAGACGCATCGCGCTTTCCGGTGGCTGTTCTTCGAACGCTCGCTGGAATCGGCCCTTTGGAAACGTGCGATTCTCATTGGCAGACTCTGTTGATCGTACGTAATCTATTTTTGAACGTGAGAGGTATGTTTCGATCGTAATTTCAGTATCCCCTTAAAAGAGTGCAAAGGAGTATAGACAGCTTTTTTTGTTTGGTCTTCACCGTGACACATTCGTTTCTAACCGCGCCTAATATGCTCGAGGACAACTTGGCAAGCACTGACTCAATTGCTCATTTACGGCTGAGACATCAGACGCTCCTTGTGGCTGACAAACTTCCGGCTGTATAAACAGACAAAATTAGTCTGATTATTATTAATGCAGTCATAAGTACGGGCACGACTGCCCTCTCCTATTTTCAGTCTCGAGTAAAGCTGTGCATGCGCTTTCCTCTTCTCCTCGGAAACGCCAAAGAAAACTTGTCCCCGAGTAAAGCTTGTCCTCCGCATCGTCTCAAAATAATCAGCAGCGTCCGACAAAATAGAGGCTAGCGTACACTGATGTGCCCCTACGAGAACTCCACGTGTCTAATCAAAGATAGGAGCGACCTACCTCGCTTTCATGCCGTCCTTTGTGTCTCCGGGTACGCAGCTGTAGCAAGTGGCGGCACTGCTCATGTCTTCGTGTCCGTTCAAAACCTGGTGGCGCAAGACCTGCGGTATTACGTCAACTCCACAAACCGTACGTACTACGTTAAGTTACCGCAGCCGCGTTTCGTTAGGCGCGCTTCTCGGCTCCAATCCTGCGTAATGCGCATGCGCGGCAAAGAATGTTGCGTAATCGTGTCTAACGTCGCGGAGGTGGCGGAGCTTGCAGCCGCCAGCAGCCAGCGAACGATGTCAAGAAACGAGAGCGAGTGACCTTCGGTTTGCGCAGGCGCAGCAGCAGGGTTGCGCGTTGAGCAGACGACACGGAGACGAGCCATAGCAGGCGAACCGAAACCGTCGTCTGCATGCAAGCGATACGCGTCGCGGGATGGACAGTATCCGGTTGCACCGACGAGCATTTGACGATAGGTTTTTTTCTATGTTTCTTCCGACGACTGAAATGTTGCCCGTCGTCCCGCGTGAGCACGCAAAACTAGCACTTTTTTTTTTTTTTATGGAAAATTGATCTACTTTAGCAGAGACCACAGCAGAAATGGCGTGCTTTATGCGTAACGAAATTAAAACAAGCTGTAGCTTTTCAGGAAAATATTTAAACAGCAACAGAAACAATGAGCGTTGCACGCGTTCATGGTTGACCAGCGGCCGCGGTAGTTCAGGTGCTATGGCTACCGCGCACGCGCAGAAACCATATTTTCTTAGAGCAAAGCATATGCGCATACGATGAATGGATGAATGAATGTGTACGGCTGGACCCTTTGAAACGGGCGGAGGCTTGCCCCACCTGGCCAGGGTTTTAGTATAAACAGCTAAAGGGAAGCTGAAAGGGTTCTTGAAGAAAACGAGTTAGAGGTGAATTTAGAGTATTGTTAACCCGTGAATCTGAATATCACGTTCGTTTTCTCCAAAGATGAAATTAAACGCGAGAAAACACGAAAAACATCCGACCAGTTGTTACGTCATAATTAGGCTGTATACTTTCCGATTTTAACCGAAAAAGACCTATAACCATCCGCCGGTGTCGAAAAGAAAAAATTGGTTAGAACCGGAAAACACCGGTTTTTAAATATTTTCGTACAAACGCCAGTTTTTTTTGTTTTTTGTTTTTTTCACCGAAAAGGTTTTGTGTAAACGTTCCTCAAACTAGTTTATATTTTTTCTTTGCAGTCGTCGTTTAGGTTTTCTAAGGTCTCTTAGTAATCGGGATGTGTTTTTCGTGTCGGTGCTCATTACTTTGACCATCAGTTTATCTCCCCAAAAGTTTGTCCTGATTGTGCCCTTGTGTAGATGGCCCCGTTGAAGGTTTCTCTCCTTCTCTGTGGACCCTAGTTGGGGAGTTTGAAGCGTCTTTCATATTGAGTGGGTCGAAGCGGGTTCGGAAGCTGCATTCGCCACACAGGCCAGTACTGTACCAAGGCTCTTTGGACATTTTGGGACTTCCCGCGTTTAGCGCAAATGTAGGACGCGCGCTCTCGAAATTGTGCGCAGTCAACAGAAAGGAGCGGGCGGGAATGACAGGTGCGAAGCTTGGAATGTATGCATGCATATATTAGAGTAATGAAGTGTGAAGAATATTGTGTGTCAGATGTAAATGAAAATTGAACCGTAACTCGTCTTGATTGTTCTCTTCTATTCGCGATTTTCTCCGTCGATAAAAGCCGTTTCAAGCGTCTGCACGAGACAATTCACCGAAATGCACCGGTATTTTGGAAATAAATAAACACCCAAAAACATCCGCCGATTTTGGACATAAAGAAACACCAGAAAGGGAAGCCTTCCGTTTTCCTCCTTTGTGCATTAATGTGCTCCCAGGATTTCTTTGCTGCATTCCTGTCATTTGGATTTACGTCCATCATCCACTGCACTCCAGCTCTACCAAACTTGGCCTGGATTAGGGCAGATGCCTCTTTTTTTTCTTCTTTCCTGACATGCATCGCATTTGGAGGCTACTTCAGCGGGTGCGTCGCCCCTTTTTCTTCGCCCATCTGTGTTCCCCTGAGGCCTCTTGTCGCCCTGCTATGAACTAACTTCTCCGTCCCACCTGCTTTTCGGTGTGTGTTTTATTCTCCTTCTTCCCCTTCGTTTGATTTGATTTTGAGCTTCTCTAACTCTCTTTTAAAGGTGTTTACTAAATCGTCACATGTCCAATCTCGCTCCAGTTGTCTGAGTCCAGACCATTCCATTTAGCTCACTTACTGCTCATTCACACTGGAAGCGGATCCGCGTTCGCAAAGCGGTTGCGAACGCGGTTGTATAAAGATCCAGTACAATTGCACGCGCACTTGATGTCCTCGAATGCGCGTGCCATTGCACTGAATCTTTACACAACCGCGTTCGCAACCGCTTTGCGAACGCGGATTTGCTTCCAGTGTGAATGAGCGGTTAGGGCGGCGCCATTTTGTTAGACCGCAGCGCCCTATCCACACATCCGGGAAGTTCAGCAGGTTCGGCGGGGTAAAACGAGAGAGGGCACGCACCCGACTCTGCTAGCAGACGACAAACCGAAGAGGTTGCCGTAAAGCGCGAAACACATGTACGACGAAACCTTCCGATCCGACGTGCGGACTGCCGGAATGACCTTAGGGGGCGAGGGTCTTCGTAGCATCGGAGCGTTGAAAACCCTCGCCTCCGACCGTCGTATCGCGTGGTCGGACGTCGGATCGGACGGTTTCGTCGTACATGTGTTTCGCGTTTTATTCATCTTTGGGCTGTATCGGCGGACTGTACCGAACATCGAACTCTCGCTCGTGGCTGCCGTTATGAAGTGGTTCGCGTTCTTAGAATATTTATGGCTACTCCAAAATCAGCCCTTAGCGCTCTGTTGTTTAATTTCAGTAAATGATCAACTAGCATATCTTTGTTCCACATCTTGTAAACCATGAGATGGGGAACGATAGAAAAAAAACGGACAAACACAACAAAATCTTTAAAGCAGCGTTTGAGATTTTTCTTGTGTTCGTCCGTTTTTTTATCGTTCCCCATCTCAGGATTTACAAGATGTCGATTAATTTCCAGCTGGCCTGCGCTCATCACTGCTTACAATTCTTTGTTCCGTTACTTCAATAGCAGTGGAGTCAGCCGGCACCTCAACCACTGCGTCTATTGCGACAGGAGAGCACGTTTTTTTTTTTATTATTCCAGACTTCCACTCATTGTCCCTAAAGGCCTACACCAGTACGAACTTCGTATAGTAAAATAGCTACAGCAACCGGATTCACTTTTCGCCGTAGCGACCGGCCACTGTGACACAGATTTTCCTTCTTTTTTTCTTTTTTTTTATTCGCACGCAGGGAACATTGCAATGGACTTCTTCCAAAACCGACGTGCCCCATCGCGGCGAAATACCACGCAGTGCACTCTGGGAACTAGTTGGCCACTCAGTTTTGGTTTCGACTGAGCAGCTTCATCTCATGCTATCACGCCGTGACCGAACGCGCTGCTTGCGCTTTCGATTATCTGACTTTTCACTAACATACAATACACTCATTCTCGAGCGATTCAAAACGAAGACCGGGGCACTTTCCTTGATTCCCGAAGCACCGGATATTGTGCGTGCGTATGCAACATATCGTGGCTTATTCACCTCACCCCACGATTGCCTGTTTGAGCTCAATTTCAATTATCCCGTCTAGTACCAGTGAACTAAAACTGAAATTTGTTCATCTGGAGCCTTACACGTATTTTGTTTGCCAAGCGTCCGCTTCTTGTTACTTCATTGGGCGAAAAGCAAGCCGCATCCTCACAGGGAATCAAAGTTGAACCCAGCGTTTACGCATGAACTTTTAAGGAAACGTAATAAATTCGACCTCACTACTGCACAAAAGTTACTATGATGTCTTCCTCGTGTCATCATATATCTCCCACTCAAATTTTATACTGATAGAAGATTAACTTTTCGCAAACGCTGAGATCGGCTAGCTACGACGGAGGCCCTAACAAGCGTCCCCTACTCCCCGCTAAGCCTTTTTGGACGAGCTTTTACTGACGCCCAAGATCTGTGCCTGAACGGTGTGTCTGAAAGTATCTAGGCATACTCAGGTAGGAAGAAAGCAAACACATAACAAATATATTATGGCCATTAGCAACCGTCAAACGCGCATTGAATTCGTTCGTTTGGCGCACCCGTCCGGCGCACTTCCGGCGAACGGTGCGACATTCTTCACACAAGTGCTCGACTTTTGCTTTCTTAAAACGATCTGTATGTGCGAATTTGCCTATATGATTGCAGGATAACTTTATGCGCGTACGCGATGTTGAATATTAGCGGAATGCAAGCGGGTAGGGACTTCACTTCGTGCAGTGCTGCGGGTCCGTACAGAGAAGAGATAAGGAGTGTGTTAAAATTAAGCTTTTCAATGGCGCCTCCTAGTTTTACCTTGCATACTCAGGCATATTAAGAAAAACAGTAATTGCAAAAAGTAATATTTCGTCTATGGACGCACGAAACAAACTGCCTGATCAACAACACTAATGTAAAGGCGCGAGCTCGATGTATGCATACTTATTGGTTGCTACGGCTTGTTGATTCGTACACAAGCAAGATCCCCGAGCTTCGCAGCGTCGAGATTCCCAGCACTGGCTCGTCCACATACCTCAATGGGAACGCTAACAGGAAGGCTCAAGTACAAAAATACAGCAAGCATGTGTTAAGACAAGCTATACGTTTCAGGCTTGTGCTAAAGCTTTGAGGTCTGGCCATTTAGGTTAGTTTAGAGACCACAAATGACGCTCTCGGGACCAGGAAACGTGAGATAACGGCCGTTAATAGTCCACGCTCTGTGTATAATCTCTTGTCGACGTGTCGATCGAAACCGAAACCATGCCACCCTCCTCCCTGGCCAACTAGTTCCCAGAGTGCAACGCGCGCCGTGTTGCATGCAGGACTTTATGGAAGTAGTCTATTAGACTCGGTTAGTCTTTTTATCGGGCATAGCATTACACGATAACTTGCATATCAAAATCCGCGTATTTGCGGTTGAAACTTCCAAAATGACGCGATTTTAAACCGAGTTTGCACGCCAGCCGGATGTTAGGTACAGCCGACTCGG